ATATAGCTCGCTAGCAGCCTCGCACCGAGGACCTATCCACGTCATCATTTACCCAGAATGCTTTGCGTGTAAATAAAATGGCTCTGTCCACGTTAAAATGTATTTTAAAAAATTTACAAAAGTAACCCGCCTACAGTATTTTTACAGTCTTTATTTTACAGTTAAGACAAAATGTTTATAATGTAATGTAATAAAGTCTAATGTTACAACTAATCGGGGATCCCTTTAAAATGAAATCCTTTGGAGAAAAAATATGAAAATAACACCTGTCTTACAGCATCGTAATATATCGCGACATATATCCTGATAAATATCATATCACCAAATCCTTCTAGCTGACATTCATTCTCTACAAACATGTTAAAGACAAACATTTCCTGCTGGATGCTGCGTCAGAGTGCACAGATTCTTTTCTAAATGTCTGCAACCAGAGATGATTTTAGTCTGAAGCCCAGCGTTGAGCCGGTGTTGGCAGGGAAGCTTCACTGAACGTCTCGTGGCTTCAGGTGGGCTCGGCAGCAGGCGGCAGGAGGGTCTTCGTCATCGACGAGATCGGGAAGATGGAGCTCTTCAGCGAGCCGTTCGTCCGGGCCGTGAGGCAGACGTTAGACGCTGCTGCCTGCACCGTGCTGGGCACCATCCCCGTCCCCAAAGGGAGACCTCTGGGTCTGGTTGAAGAGGTGCGGGGCAGGAGGGACGTCAAGGTCTTCACCGTGAGTAAAAATAACTCCTCCTCCCTCCCAGATATTCAGGATGTTTACATCGTGTTCGGAGGGCAGAGGGTCTGAACCCCGTATTATCCCTCAGCTGGAGCTGGATTAGCTTTAAATCATGCGTGACTGATTCAACAACAAAGACGTGTCTCACATGTCAACATCATTTATAACAGGACTCAGTTCTGGACTTTGTCATGTAAAAATACTCGCTGTAAATAATTAGTCAAATATAGGTCAGGGCACTTTCAATACATATACCCATATCAAACTGTTCAATACAGAGCTTTAGGTTCAATACACACTATGTATGGAACAATACAGATTTTTTAAATTTATTTTATGAACTTGTTTTCTGAAGATGCTCTGTGTTGAAGGATCAGTGGATCTGTGTTCAACTACTCCACCTAGGCTGCATTGTGGAGCACAGATCCGCTGGGAAACTTGCTGTTTCAGCAACATTTAATTAAAAAAATGTTCTTTTGAGGTTAAACAAATGTTCATAATTAATTTCAATAAATTACAAGTTAAAAAAGGCATGGACATTTCTCTTTGTTTCGAAAAAATATCGAACCTTTGACACTAAAGTATTGAACCGAACTGAATCGTGAATTTTCTGTATCGTTG